TGCCAAGGTACGCCTACTATTCTGAACAACAGCAACGGCAGCTCAAATCCGAATGCATCCGCGCCTGGATCTTGTGCCATTGCACATGAGCAACATGTCTGCACGTGAGCCTCTTTGTCTTTAAGTCATGTTCAGCCCAGAATCAATGCTTTGCCGGCTGAAGCTCTTTCGTCAAAGGGCTTTTCTGTGTGCCATCCATGATTCCCCAACGTGACAAGTCCCTGACTATGCAACCCTGTTGCAAGTAGGTTGAAAAAAAGGGGTTTCGGTCCCGTTTCTGGAGGTTCCGGGTGGACCTGGGCAGCTTCACGCTGGTCGGCCCGCTGAAGCAGCAGTCCTTCACCTGCGTGAGCGGCCACAGCTGCTCCCTGCAGAGCTTCCAAGTATGGCACCCCCGGGTCCAGGACCAGTTGATGGTGATGGACACCTGCGGCGTCACAGGTCCGGGAGATGGCTTCTTGCAGATCCCCATGGTAGCAGAGTCCATCTCCACGGTCGAATCGCCTGGAATTACGGCGTTCTCGTCCGGAAGTCAAGCCGTCGTTGCGCCGGGGGGCAGGTACCGACTTTGCTGGTATGGCCAAGTGGATCGTGAGCACCTCAATGTCTCTAAACCGGTGGTACCAAGAGCCAGCTTCGGCGTGGATGCTGGGGAGTTGTATCTCATTGGTCCAGAACCTCTTGCCCAGAGCCAGACATGTGTAGTGGGACAACCATGCAGTTGGCAAACTATGACGGGATTATCTCCTTCAGACACCTGGCTGGTGATGGCCTTGGACACTTGCGGCCCGCCGGGACCTGGGTCAAACCTCACCGGAGGGCATTCGACAGTTGGATTCCCCAACTCTGGCCTTGCCAGCACTTTGGTGTTGGAGCTCAACTCTTCAAGGTATGAGTTTAATGCTTCGAAATCTGGAGTTGCCACTGCAGGAGTCCTTGTGACCTGGGGAAGCACGCTGGTGACTGCGGCTGGTGGCCTCTATCGCTTGTGCTGGTGCGCATCCTTGAGCAGCAGATCAATCAATCAGTCGAATCAGTCGTCGGGATGCGTGGAGGCAAGTGAATTTGCGCTGGACATTGGCAGCCTGTGGCTGGTGGGACCACCAGTCCACAGATTTGCTGGTACCTGTGTCAGTGGCCGAATTTGCCGCTTGCACAGTAGTCTCTTCGACAGCGACCCAGACGCGCATGGCCGGCTGCTGGTGTTGGACACCTGTGGCAGCAGTGCTTTGCTTCCCCGCTGGACTTGGATGGCCACTGTGGAGGACTCGTACATCACTTGGGGCGAGCCAATCACGGCGCTGGGAGGCCAGTATCGGCTTTGCTGGTGCAGGGCCTATGCTACAAACCAGACAAACGACACTGCAGAAAGCCAGTTGCTCAGGGAAGGCTGCAACACGGCGGACCGATTTGTGATGGACATTGGTGCCTTCCACCTCACTGGGCCTTCAGCGCCTGTGACCCGCACCTGCATCAGTGGCCAGACTTGCCACTTCGAGGGTTTCGACCCAAGACAAGTCTCCGCTTCCGACAGCATCATGCTGCTGGAGACCTGTGGCGCCGTCTCCCGCTTGAATGCCGGGGCCGCGCATTCGTTGGCTCCCAGCGGCGCTGTGGTGAGTTGGGGTGACACCAGGCTGACTGCGGCCGGAGGCATCTACCGACTTTGCTGGTGCGGCAGAATGGGCGATGATGGCAGAAACAGCACCAACATCTCGACATGTGATCTGGTCAGTGACCACCTAGTGGACGCTGGATCGCTGGTTTTCATGGGTCCTGCGCCATTGCAGCAAGACAGGACATGCATCTCTGGTCGCGCATGCAGGACTCATGGCATCTCGGCAGTGCACCCGTATTGGTTGGATCAGATCCACATACTGGAGACCTGTGGTACCACGGCAGGTGTGATCCCCAGCCGCTTCCCCTTCGATGGCCTGCTGCCGCTCAGCTCCAATGCCTCCAACCATGAGTTGCCGCTAGACTTTGGGCTGGTGTCAGCACCTGGCGGGGTCTACAGGCTTTGCTGGTGCAGTGGCTTGAGCCAGTCAGGCTGCATCAGTGCTGCAGACTTTCAGACCGATGTGGGCCAGATGGCGATCCTGGGATTCTGGCAGAGCCAAGACCGCACTTGCATCAGCGGCAGCACCTGTACCATTGACACTCCTGTGGGCTTTGGACTCACCTCGCTCGACAGCTTTGCTGTTCTGGACACATGTGGGTTCACTTCAAGTGGCCTTGGAAGCCCCAGTGCTTCCGTGGAACTCAACCAGAAGGTGAGTTGGGGCGAGGTCTGGACAGCGAAAGGCGGGGAGTACCGTCTGTGCTGGTGTTCTGGTTTGCAGGCATCTCTGAACCTGACCAACATGTCTGGCTCGGAGCGCAATGAGAGTGGATGCTCGTTGGCATGGGACTTCCTTGTGGATGCGGGTCGATTCCTGGTGCAGGGCATGTCGCCTTTGTCGCAGCATCAGACCTGTGTTGCTGGGCAAGCCTGTGCTATGGACGTGCGGGGTTTGGCACTGTCGGAGGCAGACAGCATCCTAGCCTTGGATACCTGCGGAAGCTTACGCGGCCCATTTGCTGGCCCAAGCACGCTGAAGCTGCCGACGAATATCAGTAATGGTTCTCAAGCAACTTGGCTGCTTCTTCTTTGCTTTCAGAGTTGCCGAGATGCATGTTCTTGAGATTTGTTTTCATTTGCGTGTTTCTTTTTTTAGGGACCCCCCAATATATATATATATATGGTTTTCCTCTTGGTTTCCCTTTACAAGCTACAAAAAGCGGTACCCTTCAATCTTGTTTCATTCGGCTAAGGTGCTGGTTCACACAGCTCATGCAGAACTGGGAGTAGGTTTGAGCGGAGGCCAATACAGACTCTGCTGGTGCGCTGGCCAAGTTGGCTGCAGCACTTCAGAGCAGTTCCAGCTTGACTTTGGGGAGCTCACGCTGATCGGCCCCAGCCGCGGGCAAGACCGGACCTGCATTGCCTCGAGGGAATGCCATTTGAATGGTCTCGAAGGATATGAACTGGGAGCTGAAGACAGGCTGATGGTTCTGGAGACCTGCTCTGTATCCTCCCTATTGGAAGGCTATCCCTCCCCAGACTTTGCCCTGGCATCCTCCAATTGGAGCGCTTCCGTAACTGTGACTTCCTCTGGTGGCTGGTACAGGCTTTGCTGGTGCATGCGGGGATTTGCGTGTAGTATTCAAGGGCAGTTCCGCGTGGATGTGGGCAGTCTGCAGGTCCTTGGTCCAGCACCTCTATCGCAGCATCGGACTTGCGTCAGTGGGCGACACTGTTTGCTGGAGGGCTTAACCATCATTGGACAGAGCGCAAGTGACCGCATGCTGGTCCTGGAAACCTGTGGCACTTCAGCTTTGCTTGGAGTCCCACGTGGGTCAAATTCCCCTTCGACGCTTGTCAATGGAGCTGCAGTGAATTTGAGTGAACAGATGTTTTATGCGCCGGGTGGGGAGTACCGCTTGTGTTGGTGCAGTGGACAGTCTGATCCCACTACAAATGCAATATCCAACACCTCGATTTGCACCCGTGCGCAAGACTTCAGCGTTGACATGGGCAGCCTTGCCATTATGGGACCTGCCGTGCAACAAGACAGAACTTGTGTCGCAGGGCAGGAGTGCCGCCTGACCGGGCTGCTTGGAACCATGGACATGGCTGCCTTGCTGGTGCTGGAGACTTGTGGCATTTCTGTGGCGCCAGATCTGAACCGGCGCTTGGGCAGGCCCGGCCAGCCCCCTGGTCCGACCGCGGAATACGCAGCAGGGGCCACCTTCCTTTGGAAAGTGCCTGTCGCTCCGCCTGGTGGCTTCCGGCTGTGCTGGTGCGCAGATTTCAACAGCTCCAACCTGACTCACTGCGCAGTGCCGGAAGACTTTCAAATGGACATCGGGCGCCTGGAAGTCATAGGGCCAGTTGCAGGTTCAGTGGAGCAAAGATATACCTGTGTGAGCGGACGGCCTTGCAGGCTTGATGGCTTTGAGTCACTGGGATTTCTGCTTGGCGATCGGCTTTTGATGCTGGACACATGTGCTGGTTCTCCTATGCCAGACTACTTGGATGCGCTGCTAGTGACCGGCCCCGACCGCAGTGCCATCCAGTGGCGAGGTTCTGCTCTGTCTGCTCCTGGCGGCCAATATCGGTTATGTTGGTGTGGCACAACGGGTGCCAACGCCTCCAATGCAACGGCGACACCAGATGACTGCGGAGTGGATGCAGGAGAGCTGACCATCATTGGTGTTTCGCCCTTAGAGCAACACCGCACTTGTATCAGTGGACAGTCCTGTTCCGTGACTGGAATCACAGGGCAGTCTTTATCTTCTGAAGATGCTTTCATGATCCTGCACACTTGTGCCACTGACGCCTCTGTGGCAAGGCTGGTGGGTCAAGCACCGGCCTCTCAAGGTGGTGGTGCGGTTCGATGGGATTCCGTGCCATTGTCTTCTGCTGGTGGCATTTACCGGCTATGCTGGTGTTCCGGGCTGCACGACCACAATGACTCTTTGGTTTCCTGCGCAGTGCCGACGGATTTCGGCATGGATGTGGGGAACATGTACATCCTAGGGCCAGCCCCGCTGCAGCAGGACCGGACATGTATCTCTGGGCAGAGTTGCATTACCGAGGGTTTGGCCGGACACCTTTCAATGGCTGACCGATATCTGGCACTGGAGACCTGTGGGAATGATCTAGCTGCCATCGGCACCTCACCAGGCAGGAATGCAACCAACATGCGCATGAATGACTAGGCAACACTGATTCCTTGTGGGCTGAACCAAAGGCAAAGCCTTAGGTGTGTTGCAGAGTTGCAGTGCTAGAAAACCAAGTCTTTTGTTTATGGGTTCCGACTGCTGCTATTTGCCGCTCCTGAATCAGCTTGCTGCTTACAAGCACGGCCTTCAAACAGTCTGTCTCATGCCCGGAGGCTATGGTGGGCACAACTTTGACCTCAACAGCAGCATCTTAGAGAAAATCTTGTGGGGCGATGGTGCGCCCAGCAGCTCGTCCAAAGCCAGTGGGCCATTTCTCACATGTAGCGGTTTGTTTTTTGCTTTTCAAGCAGGTGAATTTTAAATTTTTAGGAAAGACAGATGTCTTGCGCATTCAGTAAGGCCGGATTGGTGGAGGGCAGTATCGAATCTGCTGGTGTTCCGGCGAGGCGCAGTGCTCGGTGGCTGAAGATTTCAGGGTCGATGCTGGGCGCCTTCTTCTGATTGGTCCAGCACCTTTGATACAGCACCGCACATGTGTCGCCGGCCAGACCTGTGCCGTGGATGGCATCTCTGGTGTGGAGTTGCAGCCGGATGATGCCTACCTCTTGTCGGACGACTGCCAGCAGGTCATTCCAGGTCTGCCGGAAGGTGGCTACGCAACCGCAGCTCCCAACACCAGCCTGGTGCAATGGAGCAGCACCCCAGCCACTGCCCAGGGAGGCACTTACAAACTCTGCTGGTGTGCTTCCACTTCCATCCAGTCCGTTTGCTCCGGCACAGAGTTTGGTTCGCTAGTAATGATAGGTCCGCGGCCTTTGGAGCAGTCAAGCACTTGCTCCAGCGGCCAGGCCTGTGAGGTGTGGTTGTCGGGAGTTCACCTCTCTGCAACGAATGTCCTGGTCCTCGACACCTGCGGCGTTTTTGGGTTGCCCGGCTGGCCGAAGACTCTACTCACGTCACGGGCGAACGACACAGACCCGAAGTGGCTGGCCGGTTGGAATGAGGTCACTGCCGCAGGAGGCAGTTATCGGCTGTGCTGGTGCTTTGGATCATGTGATGCTACCTCAAGTACATGGATGGATTTTGGCAGCATGCACATGATAGGGCCCACCCCGCTCCATCAACATCGCACTTGCGTAACAGGACAGGTCTGCACGATTGACCGCATTGCAGGTACCGATTTGGGCCACCTGGCTATTTTGGATACGTGTGGCACAACACACCAGATGTGGGAGCACGGCGAGCACATCCTGCCTCTGATTAACCAGAGCAACACAAGTTTGGAGCGGCTTCGGCTCTCGCATGCTGGAGGCGCCTATCGCCTGTGCTGGTGTTCCAGCTCGATTACGGGCAACAACTCAGCAGCGCCGTGCTCCGTGAGTTCCAACTTCCGCACGGATGTGGGCTCCATGCTGATCATCGGCGTCGCACCTTTGCATCAGGACAGGACCTGCATCACGGGCATGCAATGCTCCTTCGATGTGGAAGGCCTTTGGCTGGCGTCGGGAGATGAGGTTCTGGTTCTTGACACTTGCGGTTCTGGAGAAGGCAGGTTCTCGGCATCGATGATGGCCAGATGGGAGATGCAAAACAACAGCCTCAACTTGACAGATGCTGCTTCTGTGGCTGGGGCTCAAATCTTGCCCAATTCGATTCTCTCTGCCAGTGGGGGCAAGTACCGTTTGTGCTGGTGTCAAGCATCGCAGCACGGCTGCGTGCTCTCATCGCATTTTCAGACCGACTTTGGTGAGCTCTCAGTGGTTGGGCCCAGCCCACTCACACAGCAGAGGACCTGCGTTGCCGGGCAGAGCTGCGCCTTCGATGGCATACAGGGGCAATACTTGAGTTCTCCGAGCTTGGCAGTGCTGGACACCTGTGGACTTGCAGGTGCACCCTTCATTCCCAGCCTTGCCACGCCGGACAGCGACATGGGACGCTTCCAGTTGGATAGCTCTGCGGATGTGCGTGTCGCTGGCGGACAGTACAGACTTTGCTGGTGCCCAAGAAGTTTTATGAACTCCACAAATGCTAGCGACTGCCTCGCGGAAGAGCACATCGTCACTTTTGGTAGCCTGGAGATCATTGGACCGTCACCTTTGGGTGCCAGCTTCACATGCATCAGCGGCCAAAGCTGCACAATCAAGGGGCTTTCTGGCGCTGGACAGTATCATTTGACTCCCGGAGACAAGCTGTTGATCTTGGAGACCTGTGCGAGTCATGGCTTGGTGCCCAAAGGTTTGACGGAGGCCGTGCCGGCTCAGACGTCTCTGGTTTTCAGCAGTGGTGTCATCTTCACGTGGCCGTTGCTGCCAACATCTCCAGGTGGAACTTATCGCATGTGTTGGTGTGCCGCGGCTTTCAGCTGCAGCTCCATGGAGGATTTCAAAGTGGATGCCGGGGAGTTGATGCTGGTGGGTCCCAGCCCGCTAAAGCAGGACAGGACTTGTGTCAGCGGCCGCACTTGTGTGGTGGATGACATATATCTCTTCCCTGACTCCAATGCGTCACTCAATGAGTCAGATTCCATGTTCCTCGTTTTGGACACCTGCGGCAGCTTCTCCCTTGCTGGTGGCTTGATGACCAAAGGAACGCTGGATGCCACCGGCTTGGTGCTAGCCTCCCACAAGGTGAGCGCCGCCGGAGGCTCCTACCGCCTATGTTGGTGCGGCTCCCAATGCAGCAAGTCCACGGATTTCCGGGTGGATGTGGGGGAGATGACCATTCTGGCGCCCTCGCCCTGGCAGCAAACCTGCGTCAGTGGTCAGACCTGTCAGCTGCAGGGAGACGCTGAGAGCATTCGTGCCCTTGATGCCTGCAACTTGGGCTCTTCCACAGACATGGTCATATCCAGCGGCGGCTCTATTGTTTTGACAGCTGCCGGTGGGTCCTATCGAATGTGCTGGTGTGCAGTGCTCCCCAATGAGCCAGAAGCATGTGTTGAAAGCGACGATTTTGTCGTTGATGTGGGGTCGCTACTTGTTGTGGGACCCGCACCCTTAATGCAGGCCCGTACGTGCATCAGTGGACTTCCTTGCCATTTGTACGACACACAAGGAGAGGCTTTATCAGTCCAAGACCGGGTATTGCTGCTTGAGACCTGTGGTCAGTCTCAAACGGATTTTGCTGCTTTCTTGCTGTCCCCCTTCATTGAGGACATGAATGCTTCTGTGCCCAGCATGGCACTAGCATCACCATCAATTGTGACAGGAGTCGGGGGAGAGTACAGGATGTGTTGGTGCGCCGGCAGCTTTTCCTGCTTGGCATCTGAGCAGTTCCGCGTTGACTTCGGCAGCCTCTTCCTGCTGGCACCCGCCGCAAAGGGCCGCACGTGTGTCACGGGGCAGCGCTGCTTGCCCGAGGGCTTGTTCGAAGGGCTCGGAGGTGCCATCCAGGTTCTGGAGACATGCGGCTCCGCCAGCCCGGTCCAAGGCTTTGGCTACTCGGTTTGGGAGCCGTCGGCCAGCGAGGGACTTTACATCACGGCGGCTGGAGGTATCTACAGGCTCTGCTGGTGTGGCCAGTCATCTGAATTGCGGCAAGTCGAGAACTTGACCCTGGAGTTGTCCTGCACCACGCCGCAGCAATTCGTGACGGATGTGGGATTCTTGTGGGTTGCTGGGCCCGCGCCACTCGCGCAGCACAGGACATGTGTGGCTGGGCAGGCGTGTGTGATTGACCCTTTCCGTGGCCTAACAGATGGCTTGGATGCCGTAGCTGTCCTGGAGACCTGTGGGGTTGATTTGGGCCTTGGAATGTTCAATGCCGACCTCAATGCCTCACGCAATTATACCGGCAACGAGACTGCTATCCGACTCAGCTTTTCAAATGCGGAGGGTTCGCAGCTGGATGGGGGCAACTACAGACTTTGCTGGTGCACAGGCGAGATGTGTGCGGAGTTTCAAGATTTCCGTGCAGACATTGGCATGCTTCAGGTAGTTGGCCCCAGCCCTTTACAGCAGGCTCACACCTGTGTAAGTGGTTACCGCTGCGCTCTGGAAGGCATCACTGGCGTTGGCCTCTCCTCTCCTTCCGTGACCGAGTTCCGCTTGTTGCAGGATGGAGCGTCGACCTACGACGTGCGGCTCTTTGAGCTCCACTTCGGGCCGAGTGACTCGGGGCCTTGGACGCAGGCCTTGCTCACGGCGGCCGAGGCATCCACCCAGTGGCAGCGCTTCTCCGGTTGGGCGCCGGCGGATGCGGCGGACGCGGGCTTCTGGCGGCTCCGTGTGCTGCAGACATACGGCCTGGAGCCGCGGCTTCGCGAGGCGGGGAAGTCTTGGGACTTAAGAAGTTACCAAACGAAACGAAACATTGCAGGTGGGAGGCGAATCAGATTTTCGTGGAGAAATGTTGCGACTCAGTTTGTTCAGCCTCGCGTTGAACAGAATGCCGAGCCAGGTGGAGTTCTGGGCGCAGGGGCAAGTGGCCAAGGCTGCTGTCTCTGCCTCTGGTCCCGCCTATGCGGCAGGCGGCATCACCTTCTCGGCCGAAAAGCTGGTGGACAGAAAGCTGGGCGACGACTCTCGCTCCTTGCCAATGATCGAGTCGCATACAGCTTGGGTCCAGTCCAATTGGGTTTGAGGCATTTGTTCACATTGGAGGGCCGATGTTCCCCTTAGTTTCCATTTTGCCAGGGTTTGCAACACCTTGAGCCAAGGCTGGATCCCACTGGGCTCTGAGTGGGAGGTGGTCTTCGACCTGCGAGACGGCGACAGCTTCATGGTTTTGGACACCTGCGGAAGTTGGAGTTTGGTGCCCGGCTTCCTGTCTGTGGGCGTTGCAGAGGAGGTCATTGAGACGGTTGCACGCGTCTCGTGGGGATCCACTTTAGTGAGCGCCCAGGGCGGACAGTACAAGCTGTGCTGGTGTCGCAGGGGCAGCTCGTGCATCTCTCCTTCACAGGATTTTGGACTCGAGATCGGCACGCTGACCATCGAAGGCCCGCATTTCAATCAAGCCACTTGCGTGGCCGGCCAGCGCTGTGTCATTGATGCTTTCCGTGGCCAAGACATCACAGATCAAGATCAGGCCATGATATTGGATACTTGTGGAGTGGACCATTTGATGGGAGATCTGACAAGGCATATTGCCAGTCTCACAACAGCAGACTCCTATGCAACATTTGGCATACCTGGAACCGGCACCCGCCTGAACTCGACGCAGGCAACAGCAAACTTTGGCGCTGAACCTATCACATGGTTTGGTGGTGTGTACCGCCTGTGCTGGTGCAGACCTTCAGCAGGCGGCTGTGCTTCGCCTGCAGATTTCCTGACATCAGCAGGTGAGATTTCCCTTGTGGGGCCTTCCCCCAACCAGCACCGGACTTGCATCAGTGGCCGTGCCTGCCCGTCACAGCTGCTAACAGGGTACGGCGTCTCTGGCAGTGACCGCATCCTCCTGCTGGAAACATGTGGAGTGCGCAAAGTCGTGGACCGGTTCTTTGCCATTGACACAGGAGAGCTGGCTGCAGCCAATTTGACAACCAATGTTACAAAGGTGTCCAGTGGAGTTGTCTCCTTTGGTTGGGGCAGCATTCCAATTACCACAGAAGGCGGAAGCTACCGCATGTGCTGGTGCTCTGAGGTTGCATCCTGCTCTGAACCGCATGACTTCAGGATCGACATCGGAGAGCTCACCATCATGGGTGCAGGCACCTCTCATGCGTACACCTGCGTCAGCGGCTTGCCTTGCCAACTGGATGGCCTAACAGGAGAGGCGCTGGGGGCAGATCAGCATCTGGCCATCCTCAGCACCTGCGGGGCAACAGAGGCAGCCACTTTTCTGAGGGCATCGGATGGTGTGTCCTTCTCCGCCAGCACCACCATTTGGCCAGGCGGCACCTACCGCCTTTGCTGGTGCTCCTTGCCACTTCAAACATTCAACGGCACAGAGGGCCTCAATTCCTCGAATTCGACTCTGGGCCACTGCTCCAAGTCCAGTGACTTCTTGCTCGATGCGGGCGAGATCATGCTGCTGGGCCCGTCACCTCGCGCTCAGCGCTTCACTTGCGTCACCGGGGCCACCTGTCAGCTGGACACACTCAGCGGAGTGGGGCTGTCTGAAGACAACATGCTGCGCGTCATGGACACTTGTGCAGTTCCGGCGGCGGCCGTGCCACGGATGCCGCTGCTGGCGACAGTGCTGCAAGCAACTGGCACAACAGCAGAGGCATCTTGGGGGGACACGAAGGTGTCCGCGCCCGGAGGCCTCTACAGGCTGTGCTGGTGCTCAGGCTTGGCCGGCCACTGCGTGCGGAACAGCACCAATGTGAGCGAATGGGCCACCCAGAGAGATGAATGCTTCAACGTTGATGTGGGTGAAATGCAAGTCTTGGGTCCTGCTCCCCTCGAGCAAGACAGGACTTGTGTCAGTGGCCAGGCTTGTATGATCTCGTCCATCGCAGGCACCGGCGTTGACCTTGGCTCCTTCCTTATCCAAGAGACCTGCGGAATCAGCCCAGCTCAGGTGGTGCCACGTCTTAGCAATGCAGGGCTCATGGATTCCATGCAGCATATGGTCAGCTTTGGAACGCCCACCGCGGCTGGAGGGGTATACCGTCTTTGTTGGGCCCCGAACGAGATCCTTCATGCTGGGAACAAAACTTTGCTAGCTGGCAACCTTAGCAATCAATCTGGAGAGTTCCTCTACTTCCAGCTTACAGGGAATGACACCAATGCCACCAACGTCACCAGAGTATCCCTGGCAGACTGGCTCGTGGATGTCGGTCAGTTACACCTGATAGGCCCAGCACCTCTAAGGCAAGATTTCACCTGCACTGCAGGCATGCCCTGCGATTTGCGGCCCATTTCTGGTCACTACTTGGGACTGAACGACAGCCTCATCCTCTTGGAGACGTGCGGTGCGACTTCCCCAGTTGCCACGTCTGCCACTGCCGAGCTGGACATCCCGAGGTCAGGCTCCTGGGTGGGTCCTCAACTCTCTGAGGGCAGCTACCGCTTGTGTTGGTGCGCCGGACCTGACGTCAACGGCTCGAAGGTCGTGAACTCGAGTCGTGAGACCTGCGTGGTGCAGGCCGACTTCCGCGTGGACATCGGGCAGGTCTGGGTGCAGGTGCCGGAGGCAAACATGACGGGCTACTGCACCCAGGTGCAAGCCTTCCATGGAGGAATTTGGACTTGGGAGGAGGAATGCATCCAGAGTGGCCGGAGGCTGCTGCATATGGTGAATGGCACTGAGATCGATGTCAATGGCACAGAGGCTGGGACGTGTGTGTCCATGTTTGTGTGTCTGTGTGTGCTGCGCGCAGAAACTCTGTCAAATACTCTATTAGCCTAGGGAGTTTGCTCTGACATCCCACTGTCCCGAAGTCGAAGCACTGTGTGACGCGCTGTTTCCTTTTCGAGTCCCCCAAGGCGGAAGAAGTGGAGATGGAGATGGGGCCATGGCGGGACCAGTCGCGGACCTGCATCAGCGGGCAAGCCTGCAGCGTCTTGCGCCTCATGGGCGAGGTGCAGCCCTTGGACTCTGTGCTGATCCTGGACACTTGTGGCGTCGCCTCCTATGTGCCACGCTGGCCCAGGGGAGGCAGGAACCTGCTGCAGTACGACAACAGCTCCAACGCCACGGCCTTCCACTCCTTGTCTTGGGGGGAGACCAAGGTGTCGGCCATGGGTGGCAAGTACCGGCTTTGCTGGTGCAGCTCCAGCACGCCCTGCTCCACCTTCGAGGACCAAACCCTTGTTAAAGTTAAGCAGCAACATAAAGCGCGAGAGGGTATTGAGGTGAGCATTCGATCGTGTGTTCATGTTGTTCAACACTCGTCCATGTGCTGCTCTCTGTAAATTGTCCAGGACTTCCACACAGATGCCGGTGAGCTGAATCTCATTGGTCCAGTGCCATCTGCTGGCACCTGTGTGAGTGGGCGCCCCTGCGGAATGACACTGCAAGGGCACCACCTCTCTGCCGGCGATGCGATTTGGGCGCTTGAGACCTGCGGTGTTCATTCTGATGCCGACTTGCAGTTTTCTAAGCACAGCGTGACGCTGCCGCAGAACACCAGCGTCAGTGGTTTTGTATCAACACTGCAGCTGGAGCATCCTTTGCCCGTTGCTGCTGGTCGGCTTTACAAGTTATGCTGGTGCGGCGCCGGATGCCCATGTTCCAGTGTGGAGGATCTTTCAGTTGAAGCTGGGGAGCTGACGCTGCAAGGGCCGAGCTCAAGTGAGCAACACCGCACTTGCGTGAGCGGAAGGACATGCGCCGTGGAAGGTTTGCAAGGTGAGGGTCTCTCGGACTATGACAGCTACTTGATCCAGGACACCTGTGGCAGTGACCAGATATTAGAGGCTGCTGCCAATGCTGGCAAATCTGTGCAGGTTCTGGCGAGTGGTGCCGTTGTGAGGTGGGACATTCCGCACACCTTTGCAGGAGGCCTCTATCAGCTTTGCTGGTGTGGGGCAGCCACCAATGTTTCCACTTGCACGACAGGTGAGGAGCATTTATCCACAGTAGGCAGCTTGGCTTTGCGGGGACCTGCCCCCTTGGAACAGGACCGGACGTGTATTAGCGGCCACAACTGTAAGCTCAAGGACTTTGCAGGATACTTGATGGATTGGTCTGGGGATGCTGTCATGGTACTGAGCACATGTTCACTGCCCCAGGAATCTGAGACCAGGGCTGAGCTTGAGACAGGTGGCGTGCTGCGTTTTGGTCTCAGCTCCCTTGTTGGTGGGATTTACAGGTTGTGCTGGTGTGGAGTTGATGGCAATGTCAATGAGACAGCGGGCCCCTTGAACCGCACCTCTTGCTTGTTGGCCGAAGATTTCCACACCGACTTTGGGTCGCTGCATGTGGTTGGACCAGCCGCAAGCCAAGCAGACGCCACTTGTGTGAGTGGCCGTGCATGCCGGATTTGGCACATCTCTGGTCACCTTTTGGATGCGAATAGCAGTCATTTGCTCATTCTGGACACATGTGCCAAGGAGATGCAGACTCCGACAAGCTTCAGGCCGAGCACAAATGTCTCAGCACCTTTCAGCGTGGACGAGGTACCTGTGATCGGTGGCCAATATCGCCTCTGTTGGTGTGGTGGCACAGCCTGTGTTGGGGAGACAGCATTCCACATGGATGTGGCGCGCGTCACCGTGGTTGGTCCCAACCCCTTGCAACAAGATCGCACATGCATTAGCGGCAGGATGTGTAGTGTGGAGGGCATTCTCGGGGTTGGGCTATCATCAGGTGACAAGGCCATGATTCTGGACACATGTGGGGTCCGGTCTCACACCAATGGCCTGCCAAACTCTGGCGTTTCAGTCGCTCTCAGCAACACTTCTCAGTTTGCCTGGTCGACTCTTTCAGCCAAGGGCGGGCAGTACCGGCTCTGCTGGTGTGCAGAGGAAATTTCGGTCGCCCTCGCAACTTTCCCAACACTTCCAGAGATGCATTCTCTCACCACCTGTGCCACTGCTACAGACTTCAATGTTGACTTTGGACAGCTTGAGCTTGTGGGGCCTTTGCACCCTGATCAGCAATTCACTTGCGTCAGCGGTCAAACATGCACGCTTCGTGGACCATTTGATGATGCCTCCAGTGAAGATGCAGTGTTGGTGCTAGATTCCTGCGGATACGCAACAAGTTCGGTGCCGGGCTCGCCGCAGCAGCCAGCTTTCGGGTTGCAAGGCGGGCGGGCTTCTTTCTCATGGGGTGCTGTTCGCCAGACTATGCAGGGAGGAGAGTACAGACTTTGCTGGTGCTCCACGCGTTTACACGGTGGAGTGAACCTCTCTGCCGTAGAGCTTTGCCAAACCTCTGATCAATTCATCGTGAGCTATGGACAGCTTCAAGTAGTTGGTCCCAGTCTCAATCATGTTCGCACGTGTGTTGCTGGATGGCCATGTCAGATTACTGGGTTGCATGGCACACACCTTCAAGCAGGGGATAGCTATTTGATATTGGACACCTGTGGACTTGCAAGCCACATTCCGCGATCACCAAGTGCCTTCAAGCAGCTTTCGTCCGGAACACTTGGTACTGTGATCTCCTTCACTACACCGGTCACTTCCAACGGAGGCTCCTATCGGATTTGCTGGTGTGGGGCTGGCTTCCCATGTAGCGACTTTGATGCTTTCCGAGTGGATGCGGGGGAGCTCGTGGTACAAGGCACCTTGTCACAGCAGTCCTTTACCTGTGTCCGAGGAACTCCATGCAAGGTGTCGCATGTGCAGGGACTCTATGTTGAGGGGATGCAGGCGGAGTTCGTGATCTTGGACACCTGTGCCTCGAATGAGCCACTTGTGCCGACCACTGGTGCGCTGGTGCAATCTGTGCCGGGCACTGCTGCTCTTTGGGAGATCAGCTTGACAGTCCAAGGTGGCGCGTACAGGCTGTGCTGGTGTGCAGACCTTCAGCAAGCACCCATCACATTCGCGGACAATTCCACCATGCTGCCTTCGCAGTGGGAGATTTTATCCACCAACGCCAGTTTTCTTTTCAACTCCACCTTGCAGAATCGAAGCTTGTGTACTAGGCCTGATCATCGCGTTGATGTAGGTGAGCTGCACCTTTTGGGTCCAGCAACAGAGCAGAAGTTCACTTGCATCAGCGGCCGCAGCTGTTTACTGGATTCTGTACTTGGACTCGGTTTGACCGTCAACGACTCCTACCTGGTGCTTGACACCTGCGGCATCCCTTCCGTGATTCCACGCTTCAGCTTCGCGGGACAGGCAGAGCAGATCTCCGCGGGCGGCGCCATCGTGTCGTGGCACGAACCAGTCACCGCGGCGGCTGGGCAGTACCGACTTTGCTGGTGCCACCAAAGCAATGCTTCCAGCTGCAATGCGGTGGACTTCCTCTCAGACGTCGGCTCCTTCTCGCTGCTGGGTGTGGCTCCCTTGACCCAGGATCGCACCTGTGTCAGTGGCCAGCCTTGCGCGGTGGACGGCATAACCGGCATGGGCCTGCGGGCTGCTGATGCGCTTTTGGTCATGGAGACCTGCGGAGCTTCTACCGCCGAAACCTTCGGAGCTTCAACCCAGGCGGTCTCTGATGGCGCCTGGGAGCTAGCAGCTCCACGGGCCGGCGGTGAGTATCGCCTTTGCTGGTGCTCAGGCGCAGAAAGCAACGCCAGCAACGCGAACGCTACTTGCCTCTCAAGCGACTTCCGGGTGGATGTAGGCCGACTGTATGTGCAGGGCCCAGCACCGCTGCAGCAGCGCTACACGTGCATCAGCGGCCGAGCCTGCAATTTGGATGGCGTTGGTGGAGAGGGCCTGCATCAGGACTCCTTGATGATTCTGGACACTTGCGGCATCCCAGCTGGACAGATGCTTCAATGGGCGGAGCTCACGAATTACACAGCCTACGGAGCTTCAGTAGCAAGGCTTGGTTTGGAAGGTGGCCGCTATCAATTGTGCTGGTGTCCCGATTCGATGACACTGCCTATGAACTTGACTAGATTTGAAGCTAGCAATGTATCCAATACATGTCAAACTTCCTGGGACTTCACTGTCAGCTTTGGTCACTTGGATGTCGTCGGCGTCTCGCCGCTTTCACAGGATCGCACTTGCATCAGTGGACAGACCTGTCAGATTGACGGCATGGGTGGCTTGCATTTGTCTCAGACCGATGTGTGGTTGGTACTGGAGACTTGTGGTGGCCCCTCAGAAGTGTCTGGCATCCCGGGGGACAACCACACGCTGGTGGATGTACAGGGTGACCTGCTGAGCACAGCCACTGTGACCTGGGATATTCCTTTCACAGCACGCGGCGGCAGCTATCGCATGTGCTGGTGCTCGCGCCCGGAGAACTCCACGGATGGCTCTTTGTGTTTGAGGGACTCTCAGATCGATGTGGGAAAGCTTGAAGTCATTGGGCCTTCAGGACGAGTTGCATGGTTGCCACAGCGCGGGCATTGCGGGACGCGGCCCGAGCATCCCGCGCTTGAAGTGCTGGAGGAGAACGTGTTTACCAACTTGACAATGGATGAATGCAGTTCGCTCTGCAATGAGCGGTATCCTTACTGCCTTGTAGCATGGTTTGCAGATCGTGGCCCCAACGAAGGACGATGCATCATCATGCACTCTTGCGCGCTGATTGCCGATGACAGCCAGGACACACTGCTATTGTTCCCCCGCAACTCTTGGCCAGATGTTCAGCAGGCACGGACCTGCGTGAGTGGCCAGGTTTGTACTGTGCAGGGTTTGCAAGGAAATGGGTTGTCTACGGATGATGTATACATGGTGCTGAATACCTGTGGCTTGCAAGATGCATTGGTCGAGAGAATTGGCCGGGCTGCAGTGGCGCTGTCCTTCCCTTCTGGGGACTCCAACTCCTCAGGGATTGATGTGATTTGGGAAGGCCGTCTCAGCGCCCCAGGGGGCAGTTACCGCCTTTGCTGGTGCACTTTGTCTCAATGCGGCTCAGCAGAGGCTTTCCGGACAGATGTGGGCGCTTTGATGCTTACGGGGCCAAGCCCGCTGCAACAGCACAGGACCTGCGTCAGTGGCAGCAGCTGCGTGGTGGACGGCATTCAAGGCCAGGGATTGGCAGATGGCGACGCACTTTGGATTCTGGACACCTGCGGCACGGCCGCTGGCAAGAGTTTCATTTTCTCCGAGTCTTGGCTGGCGCAGCCGGCTGTGGCGAGCGGCACCTCCTTCTTTTGGAACCCTTTGGACACCCTACCTGGAGGTCAGTACAGACTTTGCTGGTGCGGTGGACGCTGCGCTACAAGCTGGGACTTCTGGGTGGACTTGGGCGAGCTCCTGCTGCAAGGGCCCACCTTTTCGCACCAGACCTGCGTGAGCGGCCAGAGCTGCCGACTGGAGGGTCTGGGCTCATCGGAGAGTTTGCTGCTCATGGAGACCTGTGGCCTGTCGGAGGCTTGGCGAGCCGCTAGTTCCGCGCCCGACATTTGGGAGCTCACCGCACCGGGGGGCCAGTACCAACTTTGCTGGTGCAAGGAGCGGAATCACAGCGGCAATGCCTCCAACCCTTGCCTTGCCAGCTGGGATTTCACCATGCCCTTTGGATCATTGACCGTCGTTGGGCCTCGCAGAGATCAAAGATTCACTTGCATCAGTGGGCAGACATGCCTGCTTGCCGGGGTCTCAGGTGAGGGATTGCTTCCAGGAGACGCTTTCCTGGCTTTGGATACCTGCGGGCTGCCCTCCACATTTGGTTTTGGGCCTTCATCCACACTTGCCTCGTGGACTCCAGAAGGCAATGGGACCTTTTCCATGGACTGGAGCTATCCACTGGGCAACCTTAGCTGGACGAATCAGAGCTCACTTGCATGTTCAGGGATTGCGTGCAGATCCACAGAACCTGTGCTTGGTGTCGCCTGGTATGAGGCATTGACCATTGCTGGAGGCATTTATCAGCTTTGCTGGTGTGCAGCTGGTCATTCGTGCGGAACTGCAGAGAGGTTCTCGGTTTCAAGCGGCACGGTGATGGTTCGGGGTCCGGCAAGAGAGCAAGACCGCACCTGTGTTT